ATAAACATACACACACACACTGTAAATATATTCAACATCGTGCTATTAGATAATTGCAGTCATTAATTAATAATTTCACCATTGCATTTTGGGTCAGCTACTAATTGCTGTTGAATTTACAACTAATTAAATTCAGAACTCTCTTAAATTTACTTCTGAAGACAAAAAGTGGGCCAATACATAAGTCTTTAATTAAATTAGTCGAAGTATTTGGACTGCCACAAGCTTAATATTTATAATTATTTATCAATTGATTCTGAATATCAGACAAAACACAACTAATTTTGACATGTTGGAGGCGTAACACCCATCACTATGGGCAACTGAGTTGACAGTCCTAATCTGTCATAACTGGTGCGACTAAAATGTTGGCACATAAGAGGACTGTGTGATGGTGGCTAATTGACATTGGGAATGAAGGGAAGAAGACGTTTAGTGTTTGCGAACGTGAGAGAAGGCGTACATGTTAAAACGGTTTTTTTAATAAAATGGAATGGAGATATACTAATGGAACGTTGTTTAACAAAGGTGGGGGTGGTGGAGGCGATGGTGTTATTATTCGGTCTTCTCGATCAAGAAATGCACTCATCTCCCCTGCCTGTTTACTACAATCACAACCCCTTGCTACTGTGCATTGAGTTTGAGTGAACTAATTTGTCTTTGAGGTTGTGATATCAAAGGCCCTTTTGGATCGTGTTGAGAAATAAGAAGAAGGGTAAAATGCTTTCAAGCAATATGAATTATTTTCAATATTTCTAACACCGTTCTGATTACCATTGAGGGTACTGCTATTGAATGACTAATTTGATGTAATAATAATTATTCCCCATCATTTCTATTAGAACCCTACATAAACTTGGCCTGCAAATAGATAGTAGATTATTGGAGGCATGTTTGAACCTAGAGTGGCAATTGCCTGTTAACTTCAAATCAACAAAACAAGCAAAGTAAAGAGAATGATGAGGGATTAATAGGCATAAAATTTTGTGAAGTCAGCCACGAATGACGGAGAATCGCTTCAGATTAAAACAACGTGATTTAGTAGTGAACATTAAAATGCTTTATAAGTATCATTTCCTGCGCAGATACACTTTCATCACAGAGTGAAACTTAAAGATTTCACGTATCAGTGGAAATAGGCAGATTGTACAGAAAGGTTAAAATTAAATAATTAATCACCGGACATAACTATAACCTTTTCAGACCTAATAACCGGGTTCATTAACCTTAAAATATTATGGACAGAGGTCAAATCTCGTCCAAAGATTTAAATTAGAGCAAATGTTATAACCTTCCTTCCTCTATTTGCATATCGATCTAGTATTTACATTCATCTAAGTGCTAGCTTAATTGGTCTTACTATTGAGGCATATAAACTACTTCCTCAGTTGGCTCTTCTTGAGACCACTTTATTCTCATCCACTTCCCATGGTCTCCTTTTTCACTTTGGATTGATGTGGGCAGAAAAAGGTCAAATGTTAATTGGCTTTAATTACAACTGGGGAATGCGCTTGCGTGCATCTATCTGCCTCATTATGACTCATAGATCTTCTCAGACTAAAGGATTACAGATTGCCTCATGAGGAGACGAAAGTGAAAACATGATAGCTGGTAATGTAGTCCAACTTTGGCCAAGTGCCCAATTTAGACGTTTACCCGACCCTCTCTCCTTTCCCTACCATTGCCTAATACATCAATTATCCATTTGGCTCTCGTTGTTTTATTAAAATTGGTTTCCCCTTGTCAACTCTTTTCAGAAATATATTTTTCCCTGTCGAAGTTCAGCTCAGTTGCGTTCTACTGACAAAGTAAGACTTGTATCTAATTGGCAGATTCTTGAAAACGATTGGCCATAGACACAATTGATTCTTCCTGAACGCTGAACGGTGATAGACCCGCATTATCACGCAATACTGACCATAGAAATTAAGTAAATATTAGTGTCCTTAGAATTTTTATTCGTTGTAAGGCATTTTGGGAGTGATTTAAGCCACTTTATCACGTGAAGTGTTTGCATTAAGCCAGTATGTCCAAAGATTTACTTAATTTTCATTTAATTTTCGCACTAAGTCTAGTAATTCCGATTTTCCATCTTTGCTTGCCTGGTTGTCCAACTCGCTCCTTTTAAAAAATTGGTCAACAGATTTCCTATTCTCCAAGTTCTTAGTGCAATCATCACAGAAAATTGATCTGAGGCAAATGGGATGTGCTCTATAATCACCAGTATATATGAATGCTACTTTTCTATATAGGTGAACGGATGACAAAAACGTTGCTTCTCCTATTGAAAGTAATATGATGGCAGTACTCATCATAGGGAGCACCATTTCCATTACTCATTTTGTTGGGACATTAGCCCACATACCACCCTGTGGGTGCTATATTTTAGCAAGATAAGATTATGCTGTAACTTGAACGAATTAACAGTCATCTCCAAATTGCTTCATTTCAACATCGTCCACATAAATTGTCCTTTAACCTCAAAAATACATGCCATGCAAAAACCATAGGTTATTCTTTGCACACTTTTATTTGAATCAAGTCATTGAAAGGACAAAATCATGCGGAGAAAGTAGGAAATGAGGTGACATCTCACGACAATGTATGAGTAGGTGACATTCGATTAAACATCCAGGATTTCTATTGAATTCACCATTGCCAAATATGCACTCAGGTATCCAACAGTATCTGGGAATAGGCCCACATATGGTAATGACATCCCAGCGAATTGGAAGAATATTCCTCGTGCCCATCTCGTTGCTCGAATCATCAGGCGCGTAAGCATATCCATTCCTATAGAACCCTGCTTTCTGATTTAATTTGGTTCTTGATTTGATGCGAACAGGTCCGGGTATTTTGAACGTTTCGTCGTGTCTTGAATCAGCTATTTCCAAGGCGACCAAACACCTTTCAAGGTTTAATTCAGACTGAAGAAGCATGAAACGGGTGAGTGTGCTACTATTAGAAAGTGACGATTATAAAAAGAAGAAGATTACGAAAAAAGAATACTTACGAGAGCAACCAACTTTCCTTTGACATTGAAACAAAGGAACTTCATCGAATCCAGGTTTCGAAAGAGAATGGCTTTGCGAGCAGGTTGGGGTATCCACTGCCACATTACTAAAATGGTTGTAACATTGACCATTCTAATAATTAATTTAACATATTAAAAGTTTGGAGAAATGTTCATAGTGAAGGAGTAACTCGTAGCTGCTTCTACTAAATGCTCACGTTCTACTGTTAATCAAGTTGTCCGAACCACGGAAGTTGACTATTCTCACTGAAAGTGTACTGAAGGACATTGGTCTCGTGATGCCTATCTTGCCACACAAATAAACTCCAAGAAACTCTTAGATACGACTGATATTTGTATAATATTTGGGTGGGGAGCATTCCAATCGAGTTTATAGGGCACTGAATTCCAGCGTGAAGTGGTCAATTCGTTGACGCAAATACACTCGACAAAATCTATTTAAAAGAAAAACTTCCCAAAATTTTGGCCATAGTACCCTTATCAAATTCGAACGATTTGAACTGGCACCGATGTGGTTCAGTATGGATTCAATAAGTAAAGAAAGTTAACATTAGAACATTGTAGAGTCCATAAAATGCATCAACGATGTGAATAGACTTAAAAGCATTGCGACTAAGCCTCTTCGAGAAAGTTGAAATCTTGCTTTGATGACCACCATCTCCACTCTTAGTGAAGAACTTGAAAATATCAGAAGTCATGATTTTAACGAAACGATTCTAAACTACATTTCTCCCTCCCCCCACCCCCCNNCCCCCCCCCCCCCCCCCCCCCCCTCCTGCCTCCCACGGTTGGCCTCACCGTTGATGTACTCCATTTCCTGACGAGTGTGCTTCCATACTGGCCCTTACTAAATAAGCACGGTCTTAGTCAAAATCATTTCACTCATACTTCCTCTAAGAGAATCCCAATAGAAGGTTAATAAACGCGTCACATGCCCATTGGCCTCGTTATAAGCCTATCACTTCCACCTGGGGATCTTCGTGTTGTACAATAAATTGGTCAAGAAGAACACAATGCAGTCGTCACCAACAGGCAAGGTGAAGAGGCTAGAATTATCATTTTCAAAGTTCTCTCCCTCCCATAAATTTAGCAGTCATTTAAAATCTTCAAAGCGGTTGATAGAAGAGAAGTAAAAATGTAGTTTTTAGATCATTTTGCATAAGATTTTGGTACATTTTAATAAAAGTCATCTATAGGCATTGCCACCACGAGTAGCCCAGAAATAAGAAAGGCAAAAAATACATTCGACGTGCCATGCAATATTCAATACTTCTAAGTTCATCTTAACGGCATTCAGTTCTCTCGCAGCCTATGTTACACTGATCTGGGGTGCACGATAGACTTACCTCCACGTGGTGCACCCTGGGCAGCATATACTCATACGGCGAAAGAGTCTATAAACCGGCAATTGACTTCTGACTTCAAACTACCATCTTCCCACTGTATGTCATATTCGACTACTTCCACAGTGCTCACCTCACCTTTTTCCTACCTTTTCTACCTTCATCTTTGAAACTCGCTTCTGTCCCCTCCCCCAACCCCGCCTCGACTTTTTCTCACTTTGATGTTCCTTCCCCTCTGAGAAGCCTGAAGTCAACTAAAAGGCTAATGACAGCCATCACAACGCCTGCCATTTGATATAAATAAATAAATGTTACACTGATCTTTCTCTCACCCGCATTTATAGCAAACGATCTGTAAAACTAATGAACTGTCTAAGCGCTGTCGCAATTATATACATCGGCGGTAGACCTTCTGTACCTACTCAAAGCCTTTCATTTATTATAAACCTAAGTAATACGCAGATCATACAGTAATAACCCAACTTACTTCCTTTGCTGAAAGGATTCTTTTCGAGAACCGATACCTCAGAGGATGTGCCATTTGAAGACAGGTAGGCTCTTGTTGGAGGAAAGTAAAATCGAAACACGGAGAATTTGCTTTGGGGCATCTCCACTTCAGTCCCAACATTTGGTTGTATGTGCTATAGTAACAAGTATTTCTCATGCATATAAATAAGTTTGTTTGGTAGAGTTTTAGAACTAATCGGTGGTCATGGGTATTAATATAAATGTGGTTTAGGAAAGCAAAATGTGCGCATTACTATTTCGAATTTTAATTATAATTTTGCTTCCTTTCATAAAGGTCACTACCGGTTTTAATTTATTTCATTTACTCACTTCAAAAGACTCAGTTATTGCGGAGAAGCAGATTAGAAAGGCTAAATGACTGAAAAAAATTAATCTATTGTGAGTAAATATTTTTTTCAAAAATAATAAAAATCAGTACTCGTTTGCAGAATTTGTGTCGAAAAAGAATTGAAGTTTTTAAAAGGTAGGTTCCATCATTCTAGTCATTTTTTAGAATGGTGTTTCTCTTTAGCAAAAAATTGCCAAAATTTCACATCTTTTACCGGTAATATTGTCGTACTATAAAGGGTGTGCGATAGACTTACCTCCACGTGGTGCACCCTGGACAACGTATACTCATACGGCAAAAAATCTATTAACTGGCAATTGACTTCTCACTTCAAACTAATATGACCCCACTGTATGTCATATTCGACTACTTTCACAGTACTCACCTCACCTTTTTTCTACCTTTATGTCTGTCTCCTTTACATCTTTAAAGCACTCTTCTGTTCCCCCCCCCCCCTCTCGAATTTATTCAATTTGATGTACCTTCCTCTCTGTGAAGCCTGAATTCAACTAAAGGGCTAATGATAACTATCAAAACGCCTGCCATTTGATACAAATAAATAAATAAATTGTCGTACTATAATAAGTATAGTAGTCATATATAATGAGTTATTGATTGGCTACCCTAAAACAATGTTGACCTAATTCAAGTTCGTAGATTAAACAGGCTTTTATCCCTGCAATGTTTAATAAATCATATAAATTCACTTACTGATAGATTTGTGTAATCAAACTCATCTATGCAAAATTCAAGACCAACTTACTTTGCCAAAGGTCTAATAAGCGATTAAAACTCCTGCAAACCTACAATAACTAAAATGTGGCTTTGTTTTGAGTGGGGCAAAACAAATCCAAAAGCGCAAAAAACACTTAATTCAAATTCAATTTTTTATCAGCTTAATGAGAGTAATGTCTACATCATTGCTTGAAAAAAGGCCAAAAAACAATTTTTATGCAAAAGCTTCTACTAACTGCTACTCTAATACTAAGTATGCGTCAAGATTTCATCGTTTGAATAGCTGGAAAGGAGTGAGTAGTGCTTTAAAGAAAACGATATTTTATAGATCAACTAAAAGTACAATGTGATATATAGATTAGCCATTTATCGACTTACTAATAAATATGCATTCTCGCAACTGATTTCAAATTGGATGCCTTCAGTATTTATACATTCAGCCAAACCACAAAAATGTGGCTATTTAAAATATGAGAATTACAAGTTTAAGGTGCAGTATAAACAGATCACATTATTATGGAAATGAGTTAAACAAAGTTCTCAGTGCGGATCCATTATACTCATTAATGGCTTTAGCGTGATCATTAACATCGATAGTGATTTATAAACTTTAAAACTTATTTAGGGATTCTAAATTAGTATTAACTAATTAACAGTACTGCCAAATACTAGAATGTGCACGTTTCATTCTTTCTAATAATGTCCCTATGTGTGCAGCAGTCTGTTAAATGGTAAAATAGACAGTAATGAGGGTCTTAATATACAATTAACTACATCGGTAATATTAGGTGTCGTCGCCAGTACAGTTTAACATTCGATCAACAAGCTACTGTCTATCAAATGGAAGTTAAGTTGCTTTCTTAAATAAGCAAAAAAAATGTATCATTATTTAAAGTTAATCAAATATGAGTGCAACAGGTTTACCTCTCCCCTCCCCCCTCTCACTCTCAGTGGAAGATGTGTCATTAATTGTTGCCGAACCAAGTTGGCTCGAAATTACGATTCTGGAGTCCGTTGTCACATTTGTTCCTGCAAAAAAACAAATCGAAATAATTTTTGCTTAACCAGGAAGATTGGAAATTAAGTGGGGTACAATTGCAGCAGTGTTAGTTGGTACTGTATTCACGATTTTTCTACCTTATCTCTATTAAGAAATGAGCTTTTTACAGAAGGACTTAAATATTCATTTTTTTTCTCTTTCAAGGTGCCTTTAAAGGGTGTTATATTGCCCTCTTAGGGAAAAAGAATCTTTAAATGTCACAGTTTTATGAGAATAAAAAAACAGGTGAACATAAACCTACAAAAATTTATTTACATTAATTAATAAAATACTTTATATAAATATATGTAAATATACATACAACTGCAGCAGAGGAGGAAATGTTGGGAAATTAGTTTGTGATAAGGTAGATAATGCATAATTACTCTCCCCAACCCGTTTTATATTTAAAAAACTGTTGTAACTCAGAAATTTAGGTCGATGATCTCCTCTGAGGAGAGAGGGAAAGCAGTGTATTTTTATTGTTTTACAAATAGTCAAACAATAGTTGTTTGGGAATATTTGTGCTGATGCTTGCGATCGAACTAGAATTCCCCTTTTGATATGCTATATCGTTTGACTACAAGATAAAATATATTAAAAATAATGTGCCACTTTGTTCAGTACGATAAACCGAATTGGGTCATATATATTATGAGGATTCAGACATTAATCAACTCTAACACGAATATCAGCATTATAAAAATTTATTTATATCAAATGGCAGGCATTTTAATAGTTATCATTAGCCCTTTAGTTGACTTCAGGCTTCACAGAGGGGAAGGAACATCAAAGTGAAACAAGTCTTTGGGG